AGAATTTCTTTGGAGGAATATGATACTTCTGATATAATTAACGTCTTGCTTGCTGCGAGTGAACTTGGTCTCCAAGAACTAATCACTTATGCACAATCCTTTTTAATTAAAACTAAGGCAGATTGGATGGAATCAAATTTTAATTTGATATATCAAACGAGCTTTGAGAATGATTCTTTCTTGGAACTACAAAGATTTTGTATTGATTTATCGTCTAAAGAGCCAGATAAAATATTCAATTCACCAAATTTTTCCTCAATTCCAGAAAATCTTTTAGTTTCACTTATTCAAAGTGATAATCTTCAAATGAGCGAAATTCAAGTATGGGAATATGTGCTTAAATGGGGACTTGTCCAAAGTCCAGAACTCCCTTCTGATACTACAAATTTCTCAAAAGAAGTTTTCAAAACTTTAAAGAATAATGTGCGTCAATGTATTCCATTTATCAGATTTCATAATTTATCTTCTGAAGAATTTTCGGATAAAGTATTACCTTACAGGAAGATTTTACCAAAGGATTTATTATATATATGAAGACTTATTAAAATATTTTATGAATCCTAATAAAAAATCAAAACCTCGTATGACTGCTAATGAAATTTATATTAATTCCAAAATTATTACAATTCAACATGCTGAATTAATCTCAAAATGGATCGATAGATTAGAAATTACAGATGAGATAAAAAATGTGTACAAATTCCAATTGTTACTTCGTGGATCTCGTGATGGATTTACAACTAAAAAATTTCATGAAATCTGTGATAATCAAACTAGTACTGTAGCAATTATTAAAGTGAAATATAGTAATGAAATTCTTGGAGGATATAATCCAATTGCATGGGATTCTGATGAATTTGATGATGAACTTGATGAAGGAATTTATGGTACTACTAAAGATAGCTTTATATTCTCTTTTGAGAATAGTGTCGATATTAAAGTTATATTTTAAGTCGTGTAAAAACTGAAAAATATGCCACGTATAACTATAGTGGTTTTGGTCCATCATAACGAGGATCTTAATTTGCATGGAGACACCGGTTGTTGTAATGGTGTTGATTATGAAAAGCAGATCAGAGAATCTGCTGATATATTTTATATAGAAGAATATGAAGTATTTCAACTTATAAACTAACAATGGTTGAATTTGTAAAAAATTACAATACATTTGATTCTAAACATGCTAGAATTTGGTATGATGTTATTTTAATATCTTGAATAAATTTAAAGAACTCTACTTTTGCTTGTTTAATTCAAAATATTTTGAACACAAAATAAGTAGATTTTTATTACATAATCCATAAATAAAGGAAAAAATATCTTTTTTAAATCATTTTAAGTTACCTCAAAATAAAATGAATTTGCTGAAAAACTTATTCACATCCACATAATATGATTTCATTGATAGAGATTAAATCAAAAGATGTCTTTAATATCATTTTAAACGGGTTTCTTTAAATTGAAATTGAAATTGAAATATAAGAAAAAAAAAAAGAATTGGTATTCATCGTATTCATCGGAAAATTCATAAACGATTACAATTATTTTATAATTAAATTTTTTCTTATTTTAAAATAATTAAAAAATAAAATAGAAATATTAAATGAAAATTTTATCAAATTAAATATCGATTTATTCATATAATCTTTTCAAATTTTGAATATCAAGATGATTTATTTAATACTCTACTTGTAAATTCTTATTGGGCTTTGGTATTATTGAAAACTTTCTTTTTTCTTTTTCTTGTAATAGAGTTCTCTTAGTATTCTCTCTCATTATAATTATTTTTTTATGATAGGTTATAGTCGACGAATTATGGAAGAAACCTACATGGAGATCACCTAATGTCTTTCATTAATTTGTAAATTCATCTACAACTTCTTTTAATTATGATAACTTTGTACAACAAATAACATTTACATCATATCCTGAATTTTCTGAAAAATGTAAAATATAAAATATCTTACTTTTATATAGAAATGTTTTTTGAAAAATTGTCCTGGTTTAATTTATTTTGCAATTTTTAGTCATAAATATTCCTCATTAGGTATTGTATTAAGAATTTAAGATCAATTAGAGATGAAAATGTTCAAGACCCAACATCTAGATTTACAGTATCGGAAATCTGAATGGAAACATGATATTTTAAAAGTTATTGGAAGTGGATGTCATTTACTTACAACCTTGATCATTTCTAGTTTAGTAACAAATACTTTGGCTGGTGAATTCTTTTCCTAATTTAAAAGGTTTACAATTACTGGTGCGAGTTTTACTATTTTAATATCAGGTTTCCCAAAATTAAAATTTTATCCTTAGAATTTCCTTATATTAGGTAAGAAATAATATATTATATACATATACATATACATATATATATATATATATAATTATACTGTATATTAATATAATAATGGAATCATCATTAATTAAAAATTTCATTCATATTTTATGTTTGAGACAGCTTTAGCTGTAGCAATGGATTTTCCTCCTTTAGAATCTTTTAATTTAAGAATTAAATCATATAAAGGTTTTGATCATTTTGTTAGATTATGGGTACAAGGACAATCTTATCTTCAACATATTGAATTTGATACATCTCGTGGATTATCAGATGATCCTTTTTTACCTATAGCACAATATTGAAATCTGTGGAATTAAGGTCTAGTACGAATTTAACTGATTCTTCCATAATGCAAAATATAGAAATATTATTATTATTTTGTCACATTTAGATTACCTGTATAAATTAATTTGAATTGTGTAATATTGAAAGTGTGATATTCTTGCATTCGATCTATTTCGTATTTAACATAATTAAGGATTCCTGACTACACTAATACTACACTAATACATTTCCGGTTAATTAAAATTTTAACTGGATTTTTTTTTCATCCGGATAGATTAATACTAACAAAAAAAAAGTATAATTTTTCTTATTAATTGCATTTTTTTTGTGTTCATTTCCGCTCTCTTAGTTACCGCGACTGCAATTTCAATATGTGTTGCATTTGCAATGACAATAAACAAATCACAGAGTCAGACATTAGTAAGCAAAATGGGCCTTTATTTACCATAACCAGTTTTCCATATGGCCAGCTATATGTTCCTTTATCAAGAGTTATATCATATCAGTATATTAAAATTCTTATATTGCATAATGAACAAGAAAACTATCAAACTGAAAACATTGTATATAATAAAATATTTCAAAATATTTAAATAACATATTTTAAATACAATAATTAGATTATTTAATATTGTTGATATAATCTATATCATTCTAATTTAGTTATAGAATAAAATCCGATTTACAAAATATCGAGATTTTACTAATAAACTCCGATATATCAAGATTCAAGACTGTTTTAATATAGATGATTTAGTTCCAGAAGAATAATCCGAAATAGTGCCAAGATTTATCAAGGATCTGATTTATCAAGATTGCCTGTGTAATACCAATCGTAATTACAAAAGGAAATTTATTGGTTTGCTAGATAGAAATTTACATATCAGATAACAAACAAAATAAAATAACGCTTATACACTTAATACATTTAATAATGTTATACTAATGTTTATACGGTAATATCAAGAAATCTATACTATCTAAACTTTATTGTCGGCTTTATATATTATTGACTTTATTATTGTCTTCTACCAATAAATTCAAAAAACCAGTATCAAGATAATTTACTTTAAGTATATTTTCAATATTTTGAACGCATCCTTCCAATGTACCATTTTTGGTCCTTCCACTAATGAATAGAATTGGTTCGTATTTATTTTTTTAAGTTTTCTTACAAGTTTTCTTCGAAATTCCGTACACAAATAATTAAACACATATGTTTGTAAAAATCCCCTATCAAAAGTAATAAAATATTATGAATAATATCAGATATAATTACGAATTGTATAAAATCATTATTTAACTTACCATGGCACTAACTTAGTTGCTCCAAATAAAAATACGAAGACTCCTGACAAAAAGCTAAAGAATCCACTGATGCTTGATAAAATTGAGGCAACTAAAGAGAAAAATAGGAAATAAAGATTTTAATTTTTATTTTCCTGAAATTAAAAAAATCAAGATAATTACGATCATAATAAAATTCCTCTTGATAAAAAAATATCCTTTGATACTGGTCTTAATATAGGCATTGTTGTATTTGGGGTTGATAAATTTGTTAATATATGATCAGTATGTGCATTAAAGTCAACGAATTCTTCTTCCAATCCTCCCACAAGACCGTAAACATACTTGCTAAATATACGTTTGTTGATTATAGGTGAATAATATACGATTGCAGCTTGCTCATTCACAATAAATAAAGGAATAATAGAAATCAAATTAAAGCCAGAAGATGGATAAACTTTGTCTATTTTAAATCCATCTAAATAGGCTTCAGTGATATTGGGAGTTATTACTGTTCTATTCTCCATCAGATAATCGAAAGTATAGTAAACTTTCACCTCCATTTTTACAAATATGAGGGACATAACTACTATTTATTATAGGCCCAGTTGTTTCGCATTGCTTTGGTTCAGGGTTAGTGTAGTTAAGATTTGAATTAAAATCAACATAATCAACGGACAAAATATTAGAAGAGTAATTACAATTTATAGGAATTATACTACAAATTCTGATAGCAATATTGCCATAATTTATATGTTTTATACTGGAAATTAAGTTGGTTTAGTAGTCGAAATAGAAAATTTTGAAAACTGATTAAGTATAAATAAGAATTGCAATTACAGTGAGAGAGAGCATAATCTCTTTAAAAAAATAAAAGAAAAAGGTTCAGTTGATGGTTTAGCTTCTGGAAATATCATTTTGAATAATTTCAAATTTAAAAAATAAACTGTCTAGTATAATGTATTATCCGGTATCCCGTGATTTTTTCCAGTTTTTTTATAATTGTCGATCACTATGATAAATCATGTATTAAGCAATAAAATCTTTATATTGTATATTAGGCGTTATTTATATACTACAATATACATCAATTGTTATAAATTGAACAATTATTATAGTAATATTTATTTATAATAATTTTTTTTCTTTTTTTCTTTTTATTATTATTAATATCTATATTTTTGTTAGTAGAAGTTTCCTGTAATGGCCGCTTGTTCTTATTTTCCAATAATTCCGAAGCCTTGCTAAATCCAGATAATACAATTTCTCCATGTTGCATATTGTCATCACATTGCACTTCATTATCATACTGTATTTCAGTTTTTGAGTTGATATCTGACGTATCTTCAGTTAACCTTTGCATAACCGAACCTAGAATCTTCCTTTTCTTTTCTTTTGTTACTTTAAGGTAATTACGCACTCCTGCAGATGAATTATGACCTGAAATTGCCATTGCTTCAACTTCTTCATTTCCGGCATCAAATATTGATTGTATTGCCGTATCTCTTCCTGAATGGTTAGAAATATTTCTTCCGGAAATGTCAATACCGCACGCAATACAGATTTCACGAAACATCCCTCTAATCCGTTTTTCACCAAGTGCCCAATCATAATACCATTTACCTTTAGAAATTGCTAGTAAATAATATTAAAATTATAGATTTAATGTAATACAATAAAATAAATTAATTTACCTGCTGTATTTGTTGAAATTCCTAAGTAAAATTCTTTGGTTATACAATCTGAGGGTCTCATTGAAATATATTTGCGAATATCTGCATTGGGTTCAGCTTTACCTTTAACATCTGATGGAAATGGAATTTCAAATGTATATTGGTTACTTTCCAACCCTCCTTGATCATTTTTTTGATGAAATTTCTTAAAAATAAATCCATTATCTGTATCTTCAAATTGATTAATTAGTAAATTATAATGTTCACCACCTCGTGGACATCCTAATAAACATATCCATAAAAATACTCTTCTAAGTAATCCTTCAGGATTATTAAAAGACACAGCATCATGATCTAAAATAATTTTTAATTCGTCATTTGTCAAGCCTTCATGTGGCTTTGCCGCGCCTATTCCTAACTTTTTCATCTCTTTTAATGTGCCATCAAGAGTAGCATGTAACTTTGGAAAATGATTTTTATCTAAAAGGTTATAGTTCCATTGTGGAATGGTGTCTTTAAGATGGCGGCTTATTGAAGCAACTGCATTTTTAAGTGAAGCTCTTGAATATCGCTCTCCAGATTTTGTTCTTATACCGTAAATAAACTCGCACATTTCTTTTTCAATTTGTTGATTAGAGGAAAGTGATTCTAATGTATATTTATAGCCTACATCTTCATGATTTCGCCAAGAATTTAAAATATTAATCCATTTTTTTGTACATTTAACTGTATTTTGTGGTACATGACTTTCTTGAACCTTTAAAAGTTCCTTAGCTGTAGGTTTAAAATAAGACTAAAAATTTATTAGTTTTTAAAATATAATGATTTTAATAACAATCTGTATTTATAAAATACTTACTTCTTTTATATTCTCCATTATTTTACATTGAAATAATGTGCATAAAGAAATTATTGAAAGAGGTTAAAGAGGTTTATGTAAAAAAATATTAAAGGAGGTTATATGTAAAGAAATTATAAAAGAGGTTCGTGTAAAAAAAAAATTAAAAGAGGTTACACGTAAAAGAGATTATGTGAAGAGAAAAAAAGCTTAAAAAAGCTTAAATAAATGATTTGTAATCACATAATCACAGGATACCGGATAAATCACTTATTCGGCACTTCGAACCGAATAACTAACGCCACCTAAAGGTAGCTTATTATATTGGGAATCAAATTTGATCAGTTGATCGCGGAGCCCGGATCAACCAATCAAATTTGATTTACCCAATATAACAGTTATTCGGCACTTCGTGCCGAATAACTATTAATTATTGATCAGTCATTCGCATTCTTGATCAACGATCACCTGGCTCTGATATAGGTGTAATTCCTATATTGGTCAAAATATTTAAATAAGATTAAAATAAAGTCAATATACTTACGAATCTTGGTTTTCCATTCTTCGGAAGTCCACCCACAATACAAACTAAATACAATCCGCTATTGAAATAAGTATAACAAATTTTACATTATTCATTTTTAATTTATGTATTAGAAATGGGTTTATATACTTATTATTTGATAATTTATAAAAAAAAAAGATTTATTTAAATTACAAACTAAGAAATTTGTAAAATATTTACTACTCTAGTCCTAGTGTTTAAATAATTCTAAGAAGAGAATACTTATATTTAATATTTNATTTAAATTACAAACTAAGAAATTTGTAAAATATTTACTACTCTAGTCCTAGTGTTTAAATAATTCTAAGAAGAGAATACTTATATTTAATATTTGATAAAATATAAAAAAAAGGAATTATTTAAATTACAAACTAAGAATCTTTAAAATATTTTACTACTCTAGCCTTAGTGTTTAAATAAATCTAAAAAGAGTAAAGTGAAGAACAATTTTTTGTTAAATGCATGATATCAAATATTACAAAAAAAAAAGCTATATCTTTTTAAAACACAAATAATTAGTTAATTTTCATTTGTTTTAATATCTAAATATTAAATAAATAAATTAATTAATTTGTAAATTAATTTATTTTATATTATACCAGCTAAATTATATACAATTTACATACCTAATTTCAGCATACATTCATTCAAGTCTTCGCTTACTAGCATTTCACTCACTTGTACAGTAGTTTGTGAATTTTTACTTTCAAGAATTTCATTCAATTGTTTACTAGTAAAATTAAGTAAGCGACTTGTATAGCAAGCCTGTGAGTGAGATTCAGTAGCAAGATTGTTATGCCCAATTGGTGCATTTATAAATTCCATAATATTGCATTTTAATTCTTCATTAATATCTTCAATTTTTTTACCACGAGGAAGAGAAGTCCATTCAAGAATAATTTCTAAAACTTCCTTAGAAGATGGTCTTTTTAATGGATCTTCATCCCAACATTTTTTCATCAAATCAACATAGCATTGTGGAGTATTTTCAATAATTTCAGGACGTTCACCTTCACAAATACTTAAACTAAGTTGAATATCATGTGCTCTATTATTAAATGGTGGTATTCCAGATGTAAATTCCCACATAATCATAGAAAAACTATATATATCACTAGCTGGAGTATAAGGTTTGCCTCTTAATACTTCAGGTGCCATAAATGGTACAACACCATAAATATTATGTTCTTCCAATAATGATTTTACAGGTTGACATAATCCTAAATCACTAATAAAAATTTTACTCTCATCATGATTTAAAATATTGCCATCATGAAAATCATGATGGATAAGATTTTGATTATGTATATTTTTAAGTCCAGAAATAATTTCATACAACATGCATAATTTTTGATCCCAACCACTTTCAACTATTCTTGTTAAGTTTCCTCTTAAATTACCTTTGTTTGCATAATCCATTACCGCCATATATTTCAAAGTATCTGGATTTTTTGTAAATCCATAAAAATAAATAATTTCATATGAATCTAAACAACTTTCATGATATTTCCACTATAAAAAATAATAATATATTAATATAAGTACATTATAATTTAAATTAAAAAAATAGTAATATACTATCATACTTCATTTAAAAATTCATTTAAATTTTCATTTAAATTATCATGACATTTAAGAATTACTTCTCTATCTTTATTATTATACGACCAAATGGCTTTGTATATAGTACCAAATCCTCCTTTATTAAGATATTCAACATTTTTAAAATTATTATAAGGAATCCGTATTAACTTTTTTTCAAAAATAAATTCATCCATGATTTTGTTTTCACTTTGTCCAAATCTACAGTATAAATTTAAATAATTAAAATTATATAAAAGTTTATAATAAAATTTACACTAAAATTTAAGATTAAAATTAACACTTACTCTAAAATTTAAATAGGAATTTGAGATAATTTATGTCTTAGTTTTTGTATAAATATATAATAATAAGCTATATTTCATAACTTACCAACTAAAGTAATAGAAATTTTAAAAGAATACAGTTAGCAAATAAATATCTAGCAATAGAATTAAATAAATAACGTACCATCTATAAAATAATTTTTTAAATAAAGAAATTTAGTTAGTTTAAATTATATGTAAATATTATAACAATAAGTTAATAATAGAATTAAATAAATAACTTACTCCCTATATTATTTAAATAATTTTTTAAATAAAGAAATTTAGTTAGTTTAAATTATATGTAAATATTATAACAATAAGTAATAATAGAATTAAATAAATAACTTACTCCCTATATTATTTAATAATTTTTTAAATAAAGAAATTAGTTAGTTTAAATTATATGTAAATATTATAACAATAAGTAATAATAGAATTAAATAAATAACTTACTCCCTATATTATTTAATAATTTTTTAAATAAAGAAATTAGTTAGTTTAAATTATATGTAAATATTATAACAATAAGTAATAATAGAATTAAATAAATAACTTACTCCCTATATTATTTAATAATTTTTTAAATAAAGAAATTAGTTAGTTTAAATTATATGTAAATATTATAACAATAAGTAATAATAGAATTAAATAAATAACTTACTCCCTATATTATTTAATAATTTTTTAAATAAAGAAATTAGTTAGTTTAAATTATATGTAAATATTATAACAATAAGTAATAATAGAATTAAATAAATAACTTACTCTCTATATTATTTAATAATTTTTTAAATAAAGAAATTAGTTAGTTTAAATTATATGTAAATATTATAACAATAAGTAATAATAGAATTAAATAAATAACTTACTCCCTATATTATTTAATAATTTTTTAAATAAAGAAATTAGTTAGTTTAAATTATATGTAAATATTATAACAATAAGTAATAATAGAATTAAATAAATAACTTACTCCCTATATTATTTAATAATTTTTTAAATAAAGAAATTAGTTAGTTTAAATTATATGTAAATATTATAACAATAAGTAATAATAGAATTAAATAAATAACTTACTCCCTATATTATTTAATAATTTTTTAAATAAAGAAATTAGTTAGTTTAAATTATATGTAAATATTATAACAATAAGTAATAATAGAATTAAATAAATAACTTACTCCCTATATTATTTAATAATTTTTTAAATAAAGAAATTAGTTAGTTTAAATTATATGTAAATATTATAACAATAAGTAATAATAGAATTAAATAAATAACTTACTCCCTATATTATTTAATAATTTTTTAAATAAAGAAATTAGTTAGTTTAAATTATATGTAAATATTATAACAATAAGTAATAATAGAATTAAATAAATAACTTACTCCCTATATTATTTAATAATTTTTTAAATAAAGAAATTAGTTAGTTTAAATTATATGTAAATATTATAACAATAAGTAATAATAGAATTAAATAAATAACTTACTCCCTATATTATTTAATAATTTTTTAAATAAAGAAATTAGTTAGTTTAAATTATATGTAAATATTATAACAATAAGTAATAATAGAATTAAATAAATAACTTACTCCCTATATTATTTAATAATTTTTTAAATAAAGAAATTAGTTAGTTTAAATTATATGTAAATATTATAACAATAAGTAATAATAGAATTAAATAAATAACTTACTCCCTATATTATTTAATAATTTTTTAAATAAAGAAATTAGTTAGTTTAAATTATATGTAAATATTATAACAATAAGTAATAATAGAATTAAATAAATAACTTACTCCCTATATTATTTAATAATTTTTTAAATAAAGAAATTAGTTAGTTTAAATTATATGTAAATATTATAACAATAAGTAATAATAGAATTAAATAAATAACTTACTCCCTATATTATTTAATAATTTTTTAAATAAAGAAATTAGTTAGTTTAAATTATATGTAAATATTATAACAATAAGTAATAATAGAATTAAATAAATAACTTACTCCCTATATTATTTAATAATTTTTTAAATAAAGAAATTAGTTAGTTTAAATTATATGTAAATATTATAACAATAAGTAATAATAGAATTAAATAAATAACTTACTCCCTATATTATTTAATAATTTTTTAAATAAAGAAATTAGTTAGTTTAAATTATATGTAAATATTATAACAATAAGTAATAATAGAATTAAATAAATAACTTACTCCCTATATTATTTAATAATTTTTTAAATAAAGAAATTAGTTAGTTTAAATTATATGTAAATATTATAACAATAAGTAATAATAGAATTAAATAAATAACTTACTCCCTATATTATTTAATAATTTTTTAAATAAAGAAATTAGTTAGTTTAAATTATATGTAAATATTATAACAATAAGTAATAATAGAATTAAATAAATAACGTACCATCTATAAAATAATTTTTTAAATAAAGAAATTTAGTTAACTTAATTGTATTACAATAGAAATATAGACATCATATAACTTACACCCTGAATTATTATTAATTTTTAATTAGTTAAATATAGATATAAATATAATAGAAAGATATTCACTATAAATTGAATATATTACTTACAATCTATTTATTTTAAATTAAGAATATAATTAGTTAAATTATATTAAAATATTAATAAATAAGTCTAATATTAAATATAGCATTCTTAAGTATTATAACTTACCAGCTGTAATAATATTTAAACATAGAATTTAGTTATTTGATTATTATGTAAAATAAATAGTAAAAAACTAAAATTTAAATAACTGATAACTTACAAACTTATAGTATTATTAACCATAAATAAATTATTTAGTTACATAGAATATAATGATAATAATTAATTTTTAATATAATTTTTATATAATATGATAGTTAGTTTATATTTGCAAAATTGTTTAAAAATTTGATGGGATAATTCTAATTTTATTTTATAGCTGTATGATTACCTTTATGATCCATTACTATATCAAATTCTTCCTAATTGGAAAGATAAAGTGAATATGTATATCCTTTTTTCTTTTTTTTTTTTTTATTTATCTTAAACGCCTTATTAGTACAGATATTAAAATGGTAATAATATTTATGCAAAACGCATTGTATACAAAATGTTGATCGCAAGTACAAGTTGTATGACGCATGTCCGGAATGCATGTTGTAAGACCTAAGTCCGTATAATAATACGTTTGCCACCTTAGGACTTAACAAAATAATACTTTATTAATAATATAAATAAATACAATAATATGCTTAGTAGTTTAACAATACTATAAAATAATAACTAAATATTTATCCAAATATTTCCCTAAATTCGTAACCTGATTTTCCACAATGTCGCCTTTATACAAAGAAACTTCTGCGCATCCCTTTTTATTAGTTTAACTGCAAAATCTGAAAATATCCTTATCTCATATAACTTTATACTCATAAAAACTACAAGTATTAGTACTTGTTATTTTTCATGTTTTTGAAATTTCCATTTTTCTTCGTTTTTGATCTTCAAAACCCTTTCCTTAAATGTTAATATCCTAATTATAGATTCTTTCATCATGATCTACAAATCAATCACATGATTTCCAATCATCTGATAATCATCTGACTTAAATCTTTCATCTTGGACGTTACATTTCAATATTAAATACTAAAAATTTTAGAAAAAAAAAAAAAAACTCTTCCCCCTTTCCGTCTGATTTCATAGAAATCCGCAGTATACACAAATTTTTTATTTTTTAAAATTTTTAACCCTTTACGTTGGTATAAAAGGAGTGAGGACCACTTGGTGGCCTCGACAGAAAGTTCTCCTTAATACACCCCGTTGCTTTTGGAGAGTATTTTATAATAGTATACCAAATATTTTTATCATTATAACACCTTTGAATATTTTACCTTCCTTTGGGAAAAAAAACCCCTCTGACGCTTCTGCTTCTAAATCGCACGTGACCGTTCCTGATAAGGATGGTTACAACAAAAAATCTTTACACAAAATACGTAATATTTTTGCTTATTCATTTCAAACTCACAAGCTTAATCCATATATAGTTAACGATACACGAGGTAGTGGTACCTTGTATAACACCAAAAAAAGTAGATACTTCCTTATGGAGTTACACCCAAATGCTGATCTTTGTTTAACAAAGAAAAATTCTTTCAACGTCTACACCAATGATATTGATATGCATAATGATCATCAGAGGATCTTCAACTCAACTAGTAAAAAAGTTAATCTTAATTACTTGATAGGGACATATCTCGCTTTTATATTCACAGGTCGAACAGATGTCATTGTCGCAAAATTTGCCTGGAATTTTTCTGGCAAATTGAGAATTATCCCGGTAAATTGGGGTAAATTGTGTTACAATTTTGGGATAATGGAGGACTTACAATTTGGCAAATTTTGTCAAAATGGCGGAATTCCTACAGAATTCCTAATTC